GGGCCAATGTCATCACAAGGACAGTTCAATAAATGATGTCTAAGAGTCAGGGTCAGAAAAGAAGACCTGATGTCATCAGGATTTGAAGACCTATCCTGCTGGCTTTGAACGTAAAGGAAGGGACCCGGAGCTCTGGCATGCAGGCTGCCCGCAGAAGCTGGAAAAGGCAAGGGGACAGGTTTCCCCTACAGTCTGCTAAACAGGATTAGTCTACATTGTCTCTACGTTTGTGGCCCTCTGTCACGGCAGCCATAAGGACATAATATACCGCCCTCTCCTCCTGGGCTGCTGGCCTCTCCCCTGTGGGAAGGGATTGCTCACCGCTTCCCAGACTTCCTCTGCAGGAAGAACTGAGGAGTGACTCCCATGAACAAGAAAGGGATGGGTCTCCTTCTCGGCCCGTCTAATGCGCTGGCCCACCTCCAGCTTGGCAGGCACCTTTATGCCTTCCTTGGCACCTTTCCTAGAACTGTAAAAAAATTTAAACACCAGTTCTGATGCTCCCTGGGAGGATTTCCCTCAGTCCTGGACCAAGCTGTTCATTGTCAGGTGCATACAGTCTTAACCTTGGTGTTCCCACTGCGCTTGGGGATTCTCAAATCTGCCCTCCCACATACTCTCTGCTAATCAGAATCAATGCTTCACAGGCCCTCCAGAGTTTGATTACCCACCTACCTACTCAGCTCCAAATTCAACTAATCTGTCTGTCTGTCTGCCTACCTGCCTGCCTACCTATATGCCTCTCTCTCTTTCTCTCTCTCTCTCCATCTATCTATCTATCTATCTATCTATCTATCTATCTATCTATCTATCTATCTATCTATCTGGGTACTGTCTATTTCTCTCTTCCCTTTTATAGGCAGTATCTCCCTGTGTAGCTCAACCTGACCTTGAACTTGGTGATCTTCTCCCCTTAGTCTCCTGGAAGATTACAGGCATGCCCCACCAGGCACAGCTTCTGTCTTTTTTTTTTTTAACTGCTTTATTGAGGTATGACTGGCATTTTTTAAAGGAACTTAATTACTATATACAACTTCATGAGCTTGGAGAACACTTCACAGCCATGAAACCACCCCATAGGCTGGGCCCTAGACATACACATCCCCTCCACGGGTTAGAGCTCTGTCCTAGCATTGCTCTCTTAGAATGCATTAAAAGCTTTCATTGTTACTTGTCTTATTAAGTCTCGGAGTCATAGCATTGAATCGGAACAATGGAATTTTGAAATAATGCTTGGGTTTTTCTGGTTGAAAAACACTAGGGCAGATCTGGAGGTACAGACCTGCAATCCCACGTCCTTAGGAGGCTGAGGCCAGAGACTCTCAAACTCAAGGCCTGCTTAAGAGTGAGTACAAAGCCAGAGTGAGAACCTACCACAAAAACAAAAGAAAAGCCAGGCAGTGGTGGCGCACGCCTTTAACCCCAAGACCTGGGAGGCAGAGGCAGGCAGATCTCTGTGAGTTCAAGGCCAGCCTGGTCTACAAACCAAATTCTAGGACTGTTAGGACTGTTCCACAGAGAAACCCTGTCTCAAAACAAAAACAAAAAGGGGGTGGGGTAAGATCAGCAGAAAGGTCCAGGGGCAAAGATGCTTGCCATGCATGCCTGAATTTGATCCCCAAAATTCATGTGAGTGTGGAAACAGAGAAACAACACCAGAGTTGTCCTCTGACCTCCAAGCATATACCATGGCATTATGTTCATAAATAAATAAAATACCAACGATAAAGTCAAGAAAGCTTTGAGAACATAGCTCCAAGTCTTTGCCAAACATGCTCAAGGTCCTTGATTCAATCCCCCAGAAACACAAGGGTCGAAAGAAATCCCTGATGGCTGTATAGTCTGTTATCTGGCTATAAACACTGAGTACAGACTGCTGTACTTCATTTTAACCCACATACAAAGCAATGCATTTAATTCCTGTCTACACACATACATGCTCCAAGTAGTACCACCATTCACATGCTTACCGTCCTGAATGGCTGTGCTATCCAGCAGTGAGGGACCCCTTCAATGTGCTCTCATCTCTGTCTATAGTCTTTGCCCCCGACTTATTCCCAAATCTCTTAGATCACATAAGCCTCACTCATGGCTTCCGACAAGAATCGTGAGAATTCAGAAAGGTCAAATTCGTAGCTTTTGAGATAGAATGGCACATCCCATTTTACTGTCTACACAAGACGTTTGCACTGCCATTCTATAAATCGCCCGTGACCCACGCAATCAACAAACACAATGATAAAGTGAAACAACAGAGCCACGTGAGGAACAATTTCTCAGTTCCAGAGGGATTTCGATGGCGATCTGTTCCCAGGGGCAGGGCCGGGGACTGAGTGGGACTCAAGAGTCCGGAGACATTTTCAGGGACAAATATCTAAGAATCACAGCTCTGTTGGGCTTTGGGGGGGCAGCCTCGTAACTGAAGGCCCCTGTCCTGGCTTCCTATTTCCTGAAATACTCCCTGCAGCAGTAAGGGCGGTCAGTGGCTTCCAAGTCTTTCTGTTCATAAGGTCTCTTACCAAGGAGACCTCTCACAAAACAGCAGAGATTTCCATCCCACATCCCCTGTGTGCCCCTTATCCTGACTTGTTTTTCTCTATGACACTTTTGTCCCCCTGATATGGCATCTATTTAGGTATCTTCTTGTCTCCCTCCACTAAAATGTAAGTGATATACTTGGTGCCTACACTCATGCCCTGGGAAGATTTTTAATCAATGCATCCCTATATACTGTATGGGCAACTTTTTCTTTCAAGAATTCAGCTCCCTCCACAGAGTCCTAAGGACAATGTTTTTATGAATGAAAATCAAGAGAAGAGAAAGTTCTACGAACTGTAGAGAAGAAAGTATATTCTTTTGTGTTTGGGTGAAAGTTCTGTAAATATTTAAGGTCAATTTAGGTTATGGTAACAATTGGCACCAGCATTTCTCTGTTTAGTTTTTGCCTGAATGACCCATCTATTGGCTAGAGTGGAGTATTGAAGTGGCCCACTATTACTATGTAAGGGTCAATATGTGAGATATGTATGTATTTTATATAGTAGTGTTTCTTTTATAACTTGAGTGCCCTTGTTTGGGCATAGATGTTTAGAATTGTAATATTCTTGTGGTGGGCTTTTCCTTTGGTCAGTATATAGTACCCTTGTCTAGCTCTTCAGATTAGCTTTGGTTTGAATTCTATTTGATCAGATATTTAAATGACTAAACCAACTTGGATTCATTTGCTTATCTTTTTTGTTTTTGTTTGCTTGCTTGCTTTTTTTTTTTTCTAGACAGGGATTCTCTGTAGCTTTTGGAGCCTGCCCTGGAACTTGCTCTGTAGATCAGGCTGACCTTGAATTTACAGAGATCCGCCAGTCTCTGCCTCCCAAGTGGAAGTACCTTGTGGCCCCGATTACAGGTCAACCAAGACCAAGAGATTTGGATTAAAAGTGGGTCTTCACACTTCAGATGATTGAATTAAGAAAAAAAAAATCCCTCACAGGTATACCCAGTCATTGGGTTTTATTTAATTCCAGATGTGGTCAAGGTGACAACCAAGACTAGCCATTACACTGGGTATACAAACCATTCTTAAGGCCAGGACCAATGTCCAGCCAACTCAAAACAAACTCAACTAGATGCCAACAAAAACAAGCTCAGTTAGTTTTGTTAGCTTCTGTCTTAGAATACTTGTCTGGTTTTTGCTTGTTTGTTTTTTGCTTATATCTTATGGTTCCCAATTTTGTGGTTTTAGGGACTTTTAGTCTCTGTGTCTATATGTGTTTCTTGTGTTTTTCCTTTGGCTCTTTGTTTCTTTGTTCATTGTTTGCTTTGTCTTGTTCAGGTTTGCTTGTTTTTAATCTTTTTATTTTATTTTTTTACATGCCTGCTTGTTTTCTAAAGACAGAGAGCAAAAAAGAACATGGATTTGGATGGGTGGGAAGGTGGGAAAGATCTGGAAGGACTTGGCGGGAGGGGAAACAATCAAAATATATTGTATGAAAAAAATCTATTTTTACTAAAATAAAGTCTTGGGGGAGAATCAGGAAAAGAAACCGTGCTGGGGTAGTAGCGCACGTCTTTAATGCGAGCACTCAGGAGGCAGAGGCAGGTGGATCTCTATGAGTTCTAAGCCAACTTGGTCTACATAGTGAATTCCAGGACAGACAGAAATATGTAGATAGACTCTGTCTCAAAAAAAAAAAAAAAGAAAAGAAAAGAAAAGAAAAAGAAAGGAAGGAAGGAAGGAAAAGGGAAAAAAGAAATCATGACCAATGAAATGCAAAGTGGATAAAGGTGCATGCTACAAAACCAGATA